AAAATAATATGTTGCACTTTATAAAACGACAAGTTGCACTTTATAAAATAAGATGTTGCACTTTATCGCGACTAGCAGATTGCACAATAGATAGAGAAAGCGAAACCGACCGAATTAGAGTTTTCAGTTCAAAATTTTATATTTCGGTTCGATAAATTATTTTTATTTTTAAAATCACAATTAGTTCAGTTCAATGTCTGATTATTTTTAGAAAATAATCAATATAACTGAAATTACCGAACTATATACAAATATATATATATATACATATATTTATGTATTGCGAGTGCACATTATGGTTATACAAATTTCACATTAATGACATTGTACAATATCATCATTTATCCACACAAAACACAAGTGTGCTAACGTACCAAAATTACAATAGCTCGCTTTATACATTATCACGTTGCACTTTATAAAATAATATGTTGCACTTTATAAAACGACAAGTTGCACTTTATAAAATAAGATGTTGCACTTTATCGCGACTAGCAGATTGCACAATAGATAGAGAAAGCGAAACCGACCGAATTAGAGTTTTCAGTTCAAAATTTTATATTTCGGTTCGATAAAATATGTTTATTTTTAAAATCACTTCGATAAATTATTTTTATTTTTAAAATCACAATTATTTCAGTTCAATGTATGATTTATTTCTAAAAATAATCGATGTAACTGAAATTACCGAACTATATAAATATATATATATATATAAATATTTATGTATTACAAGTGCACATTATGGTTATACAAATTGCACACTAATGACTAATAGATTGCACAATATCGAATGAAAACGACACAACTAAGATTTTTGGTTTGATGTATTTTTTTTTTCTGTAAAAATACTTTAGTTCGATTCGATGTCGATTTTTTTAATTAAATAGTCAAACTAACCAAATGTACAAATTATATAAAAATTATTATTATTATTATTATTATTATTATTATTATTATTATTATTATTATTATTATTATTATTCATTTTTATATAAAATATATCAATTAGTTTCAACAATTGAAATATAAAACTATTAAAATAATAATCAATTTTTGATTAATTACGAATATGACCTGTGAACCTAATCGTATATTATAAATGATACAATTTTCATTAAGCCCCTTCAACTTTTATTAAATCACTAATTTGCCACAAGTACGAAATTGAAATACATTAAAACTTAAAAAATTACAATTTCACCCCTTAAGCATATCAAATTCTCCAAATGAGGCCCCCAATCAAAAAACTGAATCTGTAAATCAGTAACATAACACATTCATTCTCAGCCCACAAATGGATTCTCCCCGCCGCCTGACCTCCCTGCCGACCGGACAAACGTCGCCTAGACGGATATGGCTCTGCGACATTGAAATCCAATTCGCGACTGTGTAGGGGGATGAAAAGGTCGATCGGACCTGGAACCACCGGCGACGCTCGCGTACGGCATTGACCACCGAATTGAGACTGGCGGCAGCGGCGGCCTGAAACTTGATAACGTCGCAGATGGAGGCAATTTCGGAGGCGGGTAGGGTTCAAAACTCGATCCGCAGGAATTATACTTCACGTCATTTTCGAACCTGCCAGTCCAAGAGAAGGTCGACGACGGTCGGCGTGGGCTTCCTTCCGCCGACGACGCGGCAGACGTCGAGAGTAAAGGAAAAGATGAAGTCGTATTGGGTGGCGGGGATGAGCTGTCGGCGTGAGAGGAAACAGAGAGATGGCTTCGAGAGTGATGCAGCGGACGACGGTGGGTGGCAGTGAAGGGCGGACGGCGGGCTGAAGCAGATCTGTTATCTTCCTGTGTGGGGCTGAATAATGTGCGTGTTTGTGTGGGTGAGAGGATGAGGGTTAGTTGTTGTGGGGCCCGCATATGTAGGTGGTTAATTATTGACTGATTATGTAATTACCACATTGTCCTCATTTAATGGTCAAATGCAAAAATTTTACCACGAATTGGACATATATTTACTATATTGCCACCCATGGTTGACTGCCATATTTAAATTTTGACTTGATCATGGTCATTGATATGGTTAATCTCATGGTCCAAGTACATTCTCATTTATTGCATTAAGAGTCATCTCATATGATCCTTTCTCTCTCTCTCTCTCTCTATATATATATATATATATATAGCTCGTCATGGCCATCTGTGAATGGAATGTCGACAAATATAGAGGGTAAAAAAACCAAAGATAAGTAGTTCCCTCTATGGCCCAGTCGATTTTCCCACGTCATATCTTAATCTCCTCGCACGATAGCAACTATCGAGCCCTCTATATTAATTGTACTCTCCCATAACTGCAGTGTAGCTAACCCAATCGGGCAAGATCTTCCCCCTCTTCATGTTTTCTGCACGTGCCTCAAATTTATGGTCTTCACATTCATGTCGAGGATAGAATGGTCTTTTCAAGTGCAGTAACACAACAACCCAAAAGACAATTTTGCCCTTAGAATATAGACAACCTTAGTTGGAGGTGCATACCTGAATAAATTACCTGACTGAAACGTATATCAGGTACAAGTAACATAACTTTAATCGTGCTTGTGTGTGTCTAATTTGTTCAAAAGTACTGGCAGAAAACAATTATGGGATAGATGTTTCTGGGAACTTACAATTTCACTGGAGTCAGATTAATTGAGAAGGGATGAGCGCAAGGACCTTTAGATTTGATGGCAACATTTAACAGAACGGTGTGGTATCGCTTGACAGAAAATAGGGTATTTCTGCATCTGTTCAAATGAAATAAGTCTATCCACCACAAAAGTTTATCTAAACCATAAACTTAATGCAACTGTATAGTGAAAACCATTGAGTGAAATGAAAATCAAACTACTTCATGATGTATAATAAGTGGAAAAGAGTTGAATCTAATGAAATATACAATAGTTGTTCGAGTACTAGAAAATCATTCACTTTTTGTTTGAGAAAACACATGCATTCAATACTAAAGATAGATAATATCATTGATTAATTTTCAGATTGGAAAGTAATCATTTAATGGGGAATGAGTATGAGAATTTGAAAGTAAACCTCTCAACAATGCCATTGTTAAAAATCGTTGCATCCCCATTTTGCATAATTTTTTTCTTATGCATGAACAATAACTTGATAGGTAGCATCACAAACTCTAAGTATTTTTAGTGTAAAGAATATTGTTTCCTCAGATATGTGATCTCCAAAAAATTCGTGGAAATTGGCTATGCAAAAAGAAAAAGGATTTTGAATATAAATGAAGAAGTTTCAAATGCAATAGTGAATGATGGATGTGTATAAAAACTTTATATGGATAACAAATAACTGGTTACAAAACATGCTCACTCAATGTGTCTTCTCAACCCCAAAGTGTATGAGTTTCTCTTTTGAGAAAGTACTCCCTGAACGATTTTAAACTATCTTTATTGCATATATACGATACTAAAATTTTATTAGTTTACATCTCTTTCTCTTTCTCTTTATTGAAAACCTATCCTAAATATTTACACATCTACGGGATTTACTAGTTTCACCTCTTTCTCTTTTCTCTTTTTTCTTATTCCCCCGATTTCTTCCCCTCTTTCTTTTTCTTCAGATATCTCCCTTCATCCTAATTTACATGGCAAAAATTCAAAATTAGTCCTATAATTTGTCCACATTCCAAAAACTTACCGCGTCATTGATCACTTTAAATCTAGATCCAATAATTTGTCAATTTCATTAATTTTGATCTCTTTTTATCCGCACCCTGGATAAAAATGCGACGTGGTATTTTTAAACCTGACATGGCGTGATTGTGGCTTATATATGTGGCAGGATTAGGAAATATTGACTTCAAATTTAAATAATACATGACCAGGCGTCGCGACGCGGCAAATTTAAATTTATAAAAGTTTCCTCAACTAACCTCTACTAACTAGTAGTAGCGGCGAGCAAGAGTCGATCACACGAGGAGCAGGAACTAAGCTGTGACTATCTCGTATTCACTGAATTATAACTATGAAAGAAACAAAAAAGGGGGATTGGTTTTATAAAAATAAAAATAACGAAATAAAATAAAATAAAATAAGAGAAATTCCAGTTTTCGGTTCAGTTATCACCCAATCTAAATCTGCCGTTAATTAATTTCGACGCCTTCTTTAAATTGCCGATGAATTACCAACCCTAGCTAACAATAAGCTCTGTTAACCGAATTTTCCCTTACCGAATATTTAATCAAAATAGGCTCTTCGCCTAAACCTAACTAGCAGACAACCTAGAATAAGCTCTGATTTAGTGCATTAGCAGCATTAAGTACTAGAAAAATAGATTAGTCTAAGCAACAGACGCAAAAGCTCGGTCTATTTAACTTATATTCACGCTACCCTAGAGATGCACGACCCATAGTTTACTACTAACGAAACGAGAATGATAACAATTACGGATCAAAGCCTCGAATCTAGCAGTTAAACAATGAATATTCAACCTAGCTGACCAAACTAAATCAAACACCATAATTCATAAACGTTATACACAGATAACATGAATCAACTCATCAACAAATATAAATACGGGCGTCTCGATTAATCAACGATAAATATAAATCCTTAAATCCAAAGACAAATTCAAGTTAGAGTTCAAACATTCCCTAAAACTGGATAAAAACACTAGCCTACCATACTAATAATGAAATAAATAAAAGATAAAAGAGAAAGAATAAAATTCTCCCTCGTGTGCAGGTGCGGCTTCCCTCCGCTTAAGTGATCTTCTCAGTCTATGCGGTCCGTCTGCTTTCTTCTCTGCGGCTCTGCGTTTCTCTCGGCTTTTATTTTTTTTTGTACGTGAGTCACCTTTCTTCTCTTTTTTTCTCTATGCGTCCGCAAATAAAACCCCTCGCTGCGTGAATATTACCTTCCACAAATAAGTCCCATTCAAGTTAACCTCCTTGACCAATCAAAATGTTTTTTCAAAAGCTTTCTGTCGAACCGGCTCCTATTTCAATCCGTGCTGGACTGATCGATATACCAATCAGGCCCCAAATTAAGCCCTCCAAAGAGGTTCGCTTCGAAAAGTTTGTTGGGTCAATGAAGAAGTGGAAAACTGACTCGTTCGCTTCCTCGCCCTTATCGAATTAGGAGACCGGGAAGGATACGGAATAACTCCTTTCTCTGAGGAATGCTCACATCGGCCTCTACTTCTAGCTCTGATTCGCACCAGTAACGAGAGTTAGATCCTTATCTCTTTTTTCTCGACTTCTATGACTTCACTTCGCTTTGCTTCGTTCGTTCCCTTCGAATCTTATATGATATAACGGACCGGACATTCTCTTTCCTTCCCTTTGTCTCCTTCGCCCCAACACCAACATCGTTGATGAAAGCAAGTCTGGAAGACCAGAAATGAAACTCCAGCTGGGGACCACTAAGGAAGACTGCGGCCAGCATACTCCAATCGTATCTGCTAACAGCAGAGGTAAGACGCCATTGGGAGGAGAGGGAAAGCAATGAAGCCCCAAATCTAACTCATAAAAATGAGTGGAAAACCAGCCTGCACTCCTCTTGGGTTTGAAATTTTTTGATTTCGGCGGATTAAATAAAGTGCCATCACCCTCGAATAAGGGAAGAAGAGCTAACGAATAGTTGGCACAATGCTATAGCTACTCTCCCTTCCTTCGAAGCTTGATTCTCCAATCCTATTTCTCCATTCACGTGAATAAGACAAGTTATGTGCTCCCATTTTTTTTTTTATATTTTTCTTCAACAAAAATTCTAGTACTTGGGCCCAAATCAAGAACTTGACCATGACCCAAATCACAATCACCCACAGTTGGCCTTTAGTCAATCTGGTACCGGACGGATGATAATGTATTGTTCGAGCTCAATACTTTGGCATTCACAAATGTACTCCAATATGCTGAAAATAAATATAAAATAATCAAAGCATATAGATTCATCTAAATATTAAATAAGTCAAAAAACATAAAAGTGTAAATAAAGTAAGCGTATAAAAATACACTATTAAGTATGTAGAACGTGCACATTTTTCGACCTATCAAATCTCCCCAAACTTAAACGTTGCTTGTCCCAAGCAACTTAGAACTATAAGCACATATATGGATATAAACAAATACGTGGAATTTTCGCTCAGGTCCTCACACATCTCACATAGTGCATAGCTACAATTTCTCAAGTTAATAACCCTAGACTTGAAATGAAATCGTCTTTAGAACGCCAACAATCAAATATCAATTCAGTGAATCACCGCAGTTTGCCAATCTCTACACCGAGTTTACCAATCATGCAACTAATGATACCCATTTCTTTGCCTACCGGTTTGGTTCCTCTTCCTTTCTAGCCAGAAATCAAAAATCTCGATATTTTTTTTTTCATTTGCTTTTTTTTTTGGAACGGCAGCTCTGTCACAGTCCATGGTATTTAGCTATTCATGCGGGAGTTATGCACTAAAGCTTCACAGACTGGCAGCTGTTGCAGCCCACAATCATTTTTTTTTCTACTTCTCCTTCTACAATACACATTATTTTCTCCTCTACATTCATTATTTACACCATCTCTCTCTTTTTTTCTTTCTTTTTCTTTTTATTTTTTTTTCGAGAAAATCAACTCCCAACTTTCCACGTCAAGTTACCTCACACAATCGACATCAAGCAGAATAGTCACCAACACATTTCAAGAATATAAATAGTTCAAGACAAACTCACTACAAATAAAACACATAAATGTCAACCGTCATGTCTTTGTCCCTCAAATGACAACACTTCAAGAATTTAACCAGAAACCATTAACCCGAGTCATCATAACTAGCATAATATTCCAACAGACACTCAAATCATCACCGCAAAATTCCACGTATAAGTCAGCTCATACCGAAACAAATCAAAGGAGTATATATAATAATCCACCACATATACCTCTCACACTAATACGCCTCCCCAAACTTAGAGTTTTCACAAATAAAAGAGCACAAAAAGAGGTAAAAAGGAAAGAGTTCACCTTATCAAAGAGAAGAAGTCACGTCGCACACCATTGGGTTGCCTCCCAACAAGCGCCTTCTTTTATTGTCGTTGGCTCGACTTATTGCTCCACTTTTATCAAGCGGACCATGGCGGCTTCATAGGTGGCCTCAAGGGAGGCACAAACCTTGCAACGCCATTCTTATTAAATATCCTCTCGTACGGTGTCGGGTGCTTGACCGGATCTTTTCTTCTCGGTGGTAGATCATGATGGCAAAAGACTAGCCCGGGATCATGGATAAGAGGGGAAATCTCTACGACCTCAAGGATGTAAGGCTCTTGAATTTCAACATGCTCGGGTGCTGGTTGTTTGACCTCGGATAGAAGAGATGAAATTTCGGTCATGCTCGGGGCAATTGATGGAGCTTTTACGTCATTTTCACCTTCAAGTGGACTGTTATCGGGGGCCCCGATAGCTATAGCTACCAGGTTTCTATCGGGGGGCCGATAGCAGCGAAAATTTGCTTCGCCTCGCCTTCTTCTTCATTCTCTTCATCGCTAGGGTCATCCTTGGGCTCAGAAATATGATTTTACAGCACCTCTAGCTCCGTGTCGCTGCTCATCCTAAGCTCTCCGACATCATCGTGGTTGGCTTCTGCTAGCCGACTCTTGGCTCGGGCATCTAATTCACTCAATACGTCACCAATCTTTTTGCTACTAGCCATCAAAGAATTTTGACACTCTTCGAATAGCTTCATCAACGATGGACTAGCCTCTTCTTTAAGCGAAGGCTCTGAAAAATGTTGTGAGCCTCCATAGTGTAATTGAGAGTCATCGTGCTCATAAATAGGCTCATACGATCGGGTATATTGTGGATTTTCATAGAACGAGTTTCCACAATCGCTCAAACCATAATGATCCCCATTGGAATTTGAGTATGTCCAATCGTCTCGTCGATACCAATCTCTCTCGGTAGTTTTGCGTGCACCGTACCTCTCGAATAAAAGTGGACAATCATCGGTGACGTGGCGTGTGGTATGACATAGACGACATGGTCTTCTTAAAGCTTGACGAACACTATCAATGACTTCTTGAATCATAGCCGACATCCTATGTAATGCCCCATTTATTTGTGGTTTATTATTATTATTATTATTATTATTATTATTATTACTATTATTATTATCATCATCATCATCATCATTGATTATTATTATTGTGATATTATTAATTATTGCTTGCCAAATTGAATGTCTAAATATTATGTGCTTAATTGTCAATTAATTGCTAATTGTATATTTTGATTAGTAATATTATTATTTTAAAATAATGTGTATAAATTTTAGCCGAGTTATTATTTTGGGCTAAATCGAGCTCGAGAGTGGGCCCGAGACCCGCCCCCGCCTGCGGCCCTTTAAGCTTGTATTTGTTCGGCCCAAATTGTATAGTATCGGCCCAAACTTTGTATCTTTGGCCAAATATAATTTCTCTTGAGTCCATCTCCTTCAACCTAAAACACGCCGCAACCTTTGTCCATCTTTTTTTCTCTCTCGATCAAAAATCGCGTCGCAACTCTCAATCTCTTCTCTCGCCTAAATCCCTCGCGCAGCAGATAAGAAACCGATCGCCGACAAGCTCTCCTCTCACCGTGCAACTTCTCCTCCTGTAGCGAGCCCTTTCCGGCGAACTTCCATAGCCGCTGCAATCCCAGCGACGAGAGCTCCCCCTCCGACAGGCTACTCAGTCGCGACCAACCTCCGCAAGCCCTCCTCCGATGAGAAAGCCCTAGCCCTGCCGACGTGAAGGAACTCCGTGAGCTCTCCTCCCCTATGAACCAACCCGGCGACCCCCTGTCCGCGAGTTTTTCCCCTCCGCGAGCGCCACCGTGAACCTGCTCCCGTGAAGTTCCGGCCGCCGCTGCTCCGCCCCGTCGCGCGTCTCAGTCGCCGTGAACCAGCAAAGGCCGTCATCTTTCATTCACAACCCACCGGCAAGACCACCCCAGCAAGCAGTCCCGATGCGCAACACCACCGCGAGCCGCTCCCGTTGCCGCCCTCATCCTCGGCGAGCAGCCCTGCAACTCCAGGCCCTCCTCCGCGAACAACGAGCCTCGCCACAGCGGCATCTTTTATCGCCGTGAGCCGCTGTCCACGAGCCGCTGCTCCTCCGTGAGTCCACCGGCGAGCCGAGCCTGAGCCGTCGAGCCCGTCGTGCCGTTCGCATCCGTTCGAACCATTCTCGCGTTTCCCGAGAACGGTATCGAGCCTCGATTCTTCTTGCGTTATTCACGTGTTTATTTGATGTGTTAATCGTGCCCGATGAATTATATATGAAGTGTATTTGTTGTGTACATGTGATATGATCATTGTCGATTGTAATGAATATGTTGAGCCGTGCTTGATTGAATTATGTGTCGATCTCGTCGATTCGTGCGAATCGAACGAGAACTCATTATAAGTGATTAGTTGCTGTGGAGTTAGGAACCTAGGATTATTTCGAACACAATGGCGTTGGCCTTGTGTCGATTGGAGGTGTATATTTGTCGTTATGATTTTTCGAAGTCTATAATGATAGTTTTGAATGAAAAATTCACTATAAATTGAATACTAGTCTAATTTCCTTGAAATTTTAGGAGCACCTGTTTTTGATGAATATGTAGCTTCTGTAAAATTGTCGTGATTTTTAAAGGTGCTTAGCTATTTTTAAAAATTAATTTGACTTCTGTTCAGTTTCTTGTAAAATACGTAGTGCTCTTTTCTTGCCAATTTTCGAGTATGTCATGTCTCTGGTATATTTATGTGTCGTGTAAAATTGTTAGAATTTTTGAACTAGGTTTGATAGGGTTAACAAATTATTTTGTGATTCTGCCTGAATTTGTTTTAATTATTATAAATTGTTCTGAAGCTTAAAAATTCTGATTTTTGGTTGAGATGCTCATTTTGTGATTATGTGCAAGCTGTAAAAATATTGGAATTTTTGGAGTTCGTTTGGGTTCAATTCTGATGGAAATTCCATAATTGGCTGAATGTTGTTTTAATTTTATAAATTCATATACTGAGTGTTAAGGGCTAATATTTTTATGTGTTTCTGTTAACATGCTGAAATATTTTAGATAAAAATTTCATGGCCTGAATCGTTCGTTATCATATGTTTTTAATTTAAACTCGCTTTTGTTGAAAAACTTGTGTGAATTTTATAAAATTGGGTTTAATGAGTTTGTGGCTGAAACTTGGTGTTTTTACTAAATTCTGGGAGGTGAATTTTATGTAAAATTTTCAGAGCCTAACTCGTAGGTTTGATATACCTTCTATTTCAAGTGTCAATTTTGGAAATTATTTTATATGGTAATTTTCGGTTAAGTGTTGTTGACCGAATTTGCTATGTGTTTACGTGTTACTCGTTTGTTTGTCATTCACTTGCAATTATGTGAATTTGAATATGTGGTTTGATCGAGTCTAAGTCCTAATGTTCCCATATCCACAGAACTTCACGAACCACTTAGTCGAATCGAGTTCGGCTAAGTCAACTTGTGAATTTGCTACATAGGTCTAGATTAAAGTGTTGACTTTAGTATCTTGACTTAATGTAGGTGTCGAGAGGTGTTGAACCTCGCCTCGTCTCGAGATTTGTGATTTGAATTGTAGCTGCTATCAGGTGGGTACATTTATGATGTATTCCATATTTATCGCACTCCTTATTTCGTGTAATGTTTTCTTTTGAAAATTTTTGTATGCATGAGAACTCTAGTCTAAGTGTCCCGAACGCT